GGGTTACCATCATTATTCGACTTTTTTGCGTGGTGGTCCAGGGGCGGGCAAGAAGAGGGGGAGGCGTCCTCGGGGCGGGTCCGGGCGATGGATTAGTGAGAGGTGTGCGCACTGCCCCCCCCCCCTTCCACCCATCCATTTCCCGCCTCGCGCCGACACAGTGCGCGCGCGGCCCTTCGGCAGACTATATTGCCGCCAACTCAACTTGTTTCGCCGAACATAAACACCACTTGGCCAACTATGAGAGCCAATAAAACCATTCGGAGCGCAGCCAGCGCGGCGGCAGCGCCATCCGTCAGCGCCTTGGGGACCCCGCGAGCGGGCGGGGCCGCGTGCTCGGCGGCAACGACCCCCGAACGTAACACCTACACAGGTGGCACGGAGTCGGGTATGAGACTCAATTATTATTTCTTTCAAAATAAAAAAAGGAAAGGTTGATAAAGCTGGAAAAAATATACGAAATTGTTGTGCAACGTGGGTGTTGGTCAGTAGTCTTTTCTCCTAAAGATCATCCAGAAAGTACGTCCGTCATGAGTTGAGCCCCAGCCTCTGCAAGCTCTCATAGCGCCCAAGCGCCTGGTAGGCAGGCAACATCAAGCCTGCTGTGCATGTGTGTACTGCGGAGTGGCCTACCCCGAGTTTCGCAGGCGCAGGTGCTCGCTTTAATTATTGCCAAATAATGCATCTGAGAAGAACGGACACGCATTCTGTGCCTGCATGGTCCTACGGGTGAAGAGCAGAGCAGCTCTCTGCTCAGCAGCAAAGGATTGTATTTTTGCATTGCCTGAGCGGTCGGTAGCTACTGATTGTACTATTGAGGACCAGTACAAACCGGCGGCCACGGCGGTAGCTACTGGTAGTACTGAAGACCGGTACAAGCCGGCGGCCGCAGCGGTAGATACTGCTAGTTCTGTGGACCAGTACCCGCCGGCGGCTGCAGCGGCAGCTACTGGTAGTAGTGAAGACCGGTACACGCCGTCAGCAGCAGCGGTAGCTACTGGTAGTTCTGTGGACCAGTACCCGCCGGCGGCTGCAGCGGCAGCTACTGGTAGTAGTGAAGACCGGTACACGCCGTCAGCAGCAGCGGTAGCTACTGGTAGTTCTGAGGACCAGTACCCGACGGCGGCCGCAGCGGTAGCTACAACTGAGAGTTCTGAGGACCAGTACAGCCCCGCTTCTAAAACCAACACACGCGAGGCGAGGCACGCGAGGCATAGGCGAGGCACGCGAGGCGCTTCTAATTGAAAACTATGTTGCGGATCGCTGTTCCCGCGTGAAGCCGAGCCGGACCGCGATGATGATTGCCGACAAACAAACGAAACGTTTCGCAAAACGCCGAGGCAGACAAGTTGTTTCAGTGTGGCACAGTTGCAAGGGCGGAGGGCTCGGCTCGCTCCGTGCGCGTGTTTGTTCGGCTCTTGCTTTGGTCGTGGAAATGTTGGTGTGCCCCCGGTCGTGCTTTGCGGTGTGTGGCGGAAATGCCGAGTTGGTCGAAAAATATCACGCATCGCTGCTGGCGAATCGGGCTTTCGGGGAAGCTCGGTTCTCCGGACCACCGCTTGTTGTTGACGATGATGGGCCGCGTCCCGTGCTGCCCGAGGGAAGAGAAAGAGTTGACGGGAATTGGAAGCAGGGGGGATCATCATCCTCATTTTAGCAACCCGCCATAAGCTACCGCGAGGGGGAATCGACTGTTAAACTTTGCGACAGCCGGATGACGGATTACCTGGATAACCGCTAGAGTATCCTACGGATTACGTTGATTTTTCTCTAGGATTACCCCGGATTACCCTAAAATTTTTCTAGATCACCCCGACTTTTTTTTCGAATTTCCTCGGATTACACCTGCCGGATTACAAACGGCTGTCAGCCGGACTACCTTAAACGTTTCCCCTTCGGCTACCGCCACTGTGCCATTCCTTCGGATCATGAATAAAACTAGCTCAGCCACAGCCAGCGGCAGCAGCAGTACCAGCGGCAGCAGCAGTACCAGCGGCAGCAGCAGTACCAGCGGCAGCAGCAGTACCAGCGGCGGCGCGGTCTTGTTGGCAATAATATCGCTACCCGCGCAGCTGAAGCTGTGGGTAGGGCTGGGCGGTTTTTTTATTTCAATATCAATACGCGCGCCTTACCTTACTCGCCCCCTCCCCCTCCGTTTCCTCGTCCCAACGCCCCCATTCACCCCCCACCGCCTTTCGAAGTGCAGAGTGGTGACCGATGGCCGACCGCTGTCCCCTCGTCATTGAGTCGTCGAAGCCGCAAAAAAAAAAAAGAAAGAAAAAGGAGGGAGAAAGCAAAAGCTGGTGGGTCCAGCGTGGCGTGGCGTGGCACTATTCTTCTTTCCTCATGCTCCGCCGGGATTTTTCTTGTGTTCCAGAGCCGCAGCCGCTGCCACTCCGTCGAGGGATGGCTGAGGGGGGGGGGAGTGTAGTAAGAGTAGTAAAACTGGCCAGCCTTCTTAGGACTGTCCTCCCACACCCACAGCTGGGCTGGGCAAATGGGCGGGTAAGGACAAGACGCATCAGGTTTTTTTCTGTCGTTTTTTTGTAAGCAACATTGTTGTTTACTTTTGCCTAGGGGTGAATGTTCGAACTTATTCTTTAGCTAAATTAGCGCAAGATCTGTCACATGTCGGTCCCAGCGTATGCGATTATGGAATTATTTCATAGTGGTGCGACAAACAAAGATATCTTCTACGCACTGCAGTGACAGAGAGAGGGGGCCTCACTCCTCCCTCAGCACCAAGTCAGCCTTCCCTCTCACTCTTTTCTTTCTCTCTCCGGTCACCCCATGGAGAAAGGGGGGGGGGGGGGCAGGCACGTAGCAAGCGAGCGGCGGGATGTCCATTCTCTCGGTGCGGCCCGTCGTGCGACGATAGCAAGTCACTGTCCCCGAAGGCCCCGTCCGTGCCCGCCGCGCTGCTGATCCCGCCGGGACGTGGCGGGGCGGGGCGGGGCGGGGCAGGGCGGGGCAAGGCGAGGAGTCGTCGCCAGGGTGGTAACCAGCTCCCGTCGG